AGTTGTGGCAATTCTGCTTAAGAAGGAGCAAGGTGCTTGAAATAAAGGTTTCTTCTGTGATCTCAGGCTAAATCTGCATTACCAGAAGGATGCAGACCCAAGCTTGAGGATACTTGCTTCCTATCCACCTTAAACACCCACTAAAGGATCCCCGAAGGAGCCTGTCAAACCCAGGACTTGGTGCCGCTGTCCCCACAGCCGCTCGCCCTGCTTCCCCTCGGGTGGCAGCTCCTGCCACGTGGCTGTCCCCACGGTCCCCGAGATGCGCCAGCCGAAGCCTTTCGCATCGGCCGGAGGGAATCTGGCACGGCATATCCAAGCGAACCTGCCAGGAAGCAGGGTCAGCCCTTTGCAAATAAACCCTGCCTGATCTGAGTAACACAAATGGACGCCTGGAAGATTAATTCAGCCCCTGTAATAATACAACTACTGTTTGCACAAACTGGTGGCATGCAATAGTTTCTTATTAAAATACTCAGGATACGCATTAAGATGTCACTAAACAAAGTAGAGCGTAAGGACAGGGAGAGAGAGCGCAGAATTTCCTTGCTTACAATTTGCCACTTTTTCATCAGATTTAATATAAAGCTACGAGCAGTATTGTAAATGGACCAATGAGTTGTCTAATTGTCTAGAACACCCTCACGTAATTTATATCATCTCTTAATTTCTGTTTTGTAACCTCCATAGCTGTCTTCAGTGAATCATAGCGTATATCTCTACTCCGAGAGCATATCAGGGTATGATTTTTCCCTTTGTTTCCCACTTTCCCACAGTGGAAACATGCAAATTTCAGCAAGGTATGTACCTACTGCATTAATCCTTTTTGATGCAATTCCAGTCAGCCCTTTAAAAGTAGAATCCCAAACATTATTTTTACTGTTTCCATTCTCTATTGTGGCATACAGTTTTCTTGCTGAAAGGATATCCATCTAACTCTACACACACACAGATGAATACACACTGGAATCATAGATACATATCAACATAACACACATCACAGACTGGAAATACATTATTAAAATTAACTGCATTACAGAGGTTAGATGTATAGACAAAACTGCTGAGGTACTCGACTCTCCCTATTCCAAGGTGCCTTAACACTCGCCGCAAACCTGCCATCCCTTTGTAATGCAGTCCTGAGATATCTAACCTGCTTTCTCTCTTCCACCAATGCAAATCAGCAGCAAAGTTGTCTGCGGAGGAGCGGAGGCTGGGGGATAATTGTGGGCTGGCTGGTAATCTATCTGGAGCTGCGTGTACAGTGGGTCCGCTCACCGAATTTTTAGCGTGCGTAACTTCTCAGGGTCTTTTCCAGCAGGGAGTTAGAAAGCGAGAAACAACAAAACTGGTTTAATGCACCAGGTAAATCAGACCAGCTCATTGTGAAACGTATCACCGCACATGATTGTTATGATAATAAACGCGGGTGAGCTCTGGTTATTACATGCACGGCCCTGTACTAACTGCTCCCTACCGCTCGCCCGTTCTCTCACTTTAGCAACACCCCACACACCTGTTCAAATAATATTACTATTACCTTGTGTTGACACCACATCCACCCTTTCCTTTCATATAATAAGAGCTCCTGGTGAACTGTAAATGGAAAGCTTGCAGTAGCAGAAGCCGATTGTTTACCTGTCTCCAGTTTGTTGCCACAGATACTTGGTCGGGAGAAGGGAACAAAGATCAGTTTGACATCCTTGTTAAGCAGGATTTGCCCCCCATCTCACCCACAAAAGGTTACGAGTTGCTATTCAAGCCTGAGCTCCACAGGTGTGCCATCACACCTGTCTGAAAGAAAACAAAATATAGTTTGTTTCAATATGGCTATTGCCCCAGCAAAATAAAGAAGACCTTGCCCTGCAACACAGACACAAGCATTTGTTTTAATATTTCAGTGAATCCCAGCAAACACAGACAGATATCCCTGTTTACATTTAGTGTTCAAGCTAAACACAACGCAAGTGCCCCCAGCAATTGATGACAGTGAGCATCTGACCCTGCTGTACCTGCTAAACTCATGGCCAAACTCATGGCAAAACTCAACTCAAACCCCATCTTGCAACACGAAAGAGGATTTTATAACTCTCCAGGTGTTTATGCCAGGCCTTAATCCCAAACTCACCGAGATGAACAGAAGACTGAGCCCAAAGCCAAGATGGGGACGGGTTTGGCCTCACCATTTACTTCCTTCACCGTTCAGCTCTGCCGGAGCTGCTGCTGCTATTGACTCGCATGTAACTCTTCGCATAGAGAGTCATCATGGTTTTAGAATAAGGGAAAGTTAAAAGTGCCGAGCCCTGGTGCCGTTCTGCTTGGTCGAAGGCTGCACCCAACTTCTTACGCCAGTGACGACAGTGTAGGTCTGGGGTAAATTGGTAAAAAATGGTAAAACCTAGCTCCCAACGGAGGCCTGGACAAGGAATAATAGGATTTTGTCCATGCAGAGCAGAGCACCACAGAGCCCTAAATGTACCCATTCATTTATATGAATTTGCCATTCGACATCTGCTGAAGGTGATGGAAAGACTTTGGTGGGCATTTGATCAAGAGCTGAGTCACTGGAGTTTCCAACGCTTTAGGTAGAAGCATTTTTCACCAAAAAGGGCTAACGAGAACAATTTGCCCATTTTCCAGCTAAAGCAGTGCTCTGTTTCTGTTGCTTTACATTCGTATTAAAAGCCTTATCCATTGCTGCTTCCATTATGGTTTAAACAGCGCTGTTTGTAGTCAGCTGTAAGAAGGTGTCCCTGCATTTAGGAAGTGTGGTAGATGCATAGCGCCAGCTGGTTTGGAAAGAGTTTGTATACTGGGCTGCAACTTATGTAGAGAAATGTCCTTGAGGCAGGGAGCATGTTTTATTTATTGTTTTATTTATTGCATATGCCAAGTAAATGGAATCCCAAATTATGAAGATACAAAACACAGTGTGGGTATTTATCAGCACTGAATGTTTTTATGTGCTCCAAAACAACTTGGGGTTTCCCAGCTGACTGTGAGCAGCTTGCTGGTTTTGAAGATCTAGCACCTTTGGAACTGAAGGGACATGCTGAATTTTAAGCACTTGGAAAGTGAATTAATTGCATGGACAGCAACATTTTCCCCCTTCTTTTTTTTTTTTTTTTTAATT